CCCCCCCCCCCCCCCCGCGCCCACAACTCAAACAGACCCGCGCCCCCGTGGGTGTTGTTGTGTTCCTACAATTAGAACGCGCCCTGTTGGTTAGACTATTGTAGTACTTATACTTGTACGTCAGACGTCGTGTGCTACGCCGCACATCCTCGCTCAACTGTCATCGCTATACCCCCACTCCCGACCTATCCCTTCCCAATATCACGTTTCTTTTCATCATCCTTACACTCTCTCTCTCTACTATTTGTTTGGTTCACGCCACAGGGGGGTCTCCTAGCGCTGCACTACTGCTTGCTCGCGGCCCTGGTGCCCCTTCCCGTGGCGATCGGGCACATCTTCCTCGGGGGGTGGCTTACGGCTACCCTCGTGACGGTGACACACACGGCGGAGGAGTACGCCGCCGAGGACGACTCGTCCTACGTGGAGACGCAGTTCAGGACCACTAGGGACGCCATCACCGATGGACCCGTCGCGGAGTGAGTCTTCCCTCTTTTTTTTTCTTTTTTCCTGCTGCCGTTGTCTCGTTAGTGATTTTCGTTCCTGGGCCCGTCCTTTTTTTTCTTTTTTTCTCTTTTTTCAAGGCGAAGGAAAGGGGCTCTCTCTCCTGCAGGGGCCGGGCCGTCTCCTTGCTGGTTTTCTTTCAAATATATATATTTTATTATTTGTCATTAGGGGCGCCTTTTCGCCCAGCATACAAGTATGGATGACGGAAGCAGTCGCCATTTGTTTTTGTCGATGATCTCTCCGCCAGCAGCTACAGTAGAAAGCCCCGTCGACGTCTTGCATGCCATCCATTGCTTGTTTTCATCGTTCTTCACGGACGTACTATAGATGTTCCTGACCTCTTCCTTTCGATTGCCCCCCTCTCTCAGTCCCCCAGTTAGTTGTGAACACCGGGAAATCATCACCTAAATGGTACACATAGTGGTGCCTATCCATTGTACTGACGTCACCTTCTCTCCTCCCCCTTGTCCGCCTTTTGATTTGTGTGGGTGACAACAACAACAACAATCGTACCATGTTTTGCTACCAGATACGTGTGGGGCGGCATGCAGTACCAGCTGGAGCACCACCTGTTTCCTACCATCCCCCGGTACAAATACCGCCAACTCGTGCCCCTGGTGAGGAAGTTCGCCGAGGAGAACGGTATCGAGTACAGGGCCACCCCCCAGTGGGAGATCATCAAGGACAACTTGGCTCTGGTAAGTTTGTTCGTTCGCATGCCTTGCTATCTTGGTCGGTGATGTCGTTGCGGTCGTAATCGCGTCCAGAAGTGTCCTGACCCCGCGTTCTTTGCCTCCGTATCTCGGTTCGTGAGGGTTTACGAGTGCAGCATAGTCATGGGCTTGCCCTAAAATATGGTGGCTGGCATGTATATATACACGCCATGGAAATTGTATAGGGTGGTGGTAGTACGAATCGACGTGGAAATGGCAGACCGAGAGGAGGCCCAACCCCTCGCGAACACGTGAACGATCCGTGCGATCCTCCATTTCGCGTTATGTATAGAATGCTTACAGCTTGTTGCGTTGTTTGGTATGGTCGAGCGTAGGCCGATTGTGCTCTTTGTTGTGCTTTTTCGGTGATCGTTCGTGGCCAGTGTGCCTTCCTTCCGTTACGCATTCCGTACCGTACCGTAGACGAGTGGGAGCGTTGGGCGTTGTTGCTGCTTGCTTTGCTCTTCTCGTGTAACCGCCGGGGTCATGTTGCGTCCGACGTCCCACCTGTACTGATGGCATTCACGACACGACACCCGAAGACAAGACATGTCAGCAACACCAAGTGCCACCTAAGAAACACGTTGTGCCAGGACGCTGCCCATTTGCTCAAGAGTAACGTGACGACCGCCCCCGCTGACCCAACCCCATTTATTGTACCTTTCTCATCTTTCCAGTCCCACCCAACCCACTCAACCCAACCCCGCTTTTCTCTTTCTGACGCGGTCGATGCCGCCCGGTCGATGCCGCCCGTGCTGTTGCCGCGAGCGCAGTTGAAGCGCGTTGGATCGTCGCCCGTCATGCCCGGGTCGCCAGCCCCCGGGGCAGCCGACATCGACAAGAAGTAAGGCCCCAACTATCTATATTTCCGGAGATTTCGGAGAACCGTGCAACCGAGCTGAACCAAAACCTGCCAACGGTCTCTTCTTCGAAGCCCTCCAACTTGCTGCTACCCCAACATCTATAGTGGATTTTGGCAGATATAATGGAGGGGGGGGGGGGGGGGG